GGAGAATTCCCAGCGTATTCATTGACAATAAAACTTAAAAACTAAATACTCGAGCAATATGGAACCAGTTTTAAAACATTTACAAATTTATAGTGATTTGTTTTGGAGTTACTGAGATAACAGAACAGTAAAAACAGGAAACAAATAACTTTTTAAAATAATCTTTTTTTTTCGGGAGTAAGGGAGATAACTCATTAATATTTACATGGAGTTAAGACCCTTGATCTTTTTTTTTTTTTTTCGCCTCCGACGGCGTGATACCTTTTTCGTTTAATCAAAATTCATTTTGGCATTGAGCACCTCAACATGTTGCAATGGTTAGCAAGCTGACTGCGATAGATCAATTACAACTAGTGAGTCAGATCCTCACTAATGTGCTCCATACTTTCGCTCTTTTTTACTGTGCTAAAATACAGAAATTGGCTAATGCCTGAAAGTAACTACTAAGTTATTCTCATACTTCCAACCTTCATGTTGCTTAATTTTTCATCAGGCATAAAAAAAAAAAGATTCACTCACTTTTACAGTTCATATTTTGTATCGTATTCATTTAGATTAAAGTTTCCCCCACAAATAGGTTTATTAGTGCTTTCGTCTTACATTATAGAGATAATTATTGGTTTTGCATTTATAATTAGGGGCTTGTGATTGTGAATAGTACTTATAAAAGACGTTCCAATTTCAGAATTAGTTTAAACCAGCATCATACACATACACTAAATTATAAAGTGCATTAAGTACGTATTGGAATTTCTGCCTTGGACCAGAGTATCTCTGTGCTCTACCTAGCATGGAAATACCGTTTCCATTCTTCGACCACAGTGTACTGTAAAATGTGTACGCTCTGTGAAAAGTGTCCACACACGTAATATATACACACACACACACACACACACATATATATATATATATATATATATATATATATATATATATATATATAGTCATTCACAGACTTTTCGCTGTTCACAGCTCCACAGTGTGGCTAGACTTCCGATCGCTTCAGGCCTGGACCAAAACCCAACCGATTTGGTATCGGTCGGAGATTCTAACCCTTAGTCCATCAACGCCCGACAGAGAAAGAGGCCAATTTTTTGCGTATTTATTTTTTCATAAACACACCAGTCACTTAGAGAACTCAATCGCTAGGAGAGTCTTGCATTATTAGCAGTAATAGTGACTGTTTACAAATTCGTTCCTTACTCCCCACAGTGTTCAATCGATTAAAAGCATTTTATCGAGAGCTAATATCATCATCCACAGACTGTTTCGCTGTATCACAGCCCCTCAGTATGGCTAGACATATTATATATATATATATATATATATATATATATATATATATATATATATATATATGCTCTGTTTCGTATCCTAACGTAAACAAAGACAATTTATTTTAGAAAATGGATTAAATCCGACATATTTTTTATTTTCAATTCATTTTGTTTAAAAGTTATTTTTGTTTGATGGATACTCATATTCGAGTAGAAGCTCTGTTTTGTGTTTTTTTTTAATTAAACAGTATTTTTTTTATCCAAGTACATCTACAAAGTCCAACTTAAAACAACGCTGAAAGGCACTGGACCTGAGCTTAAATCATTTGAAACACCAGCACAAGACCTCACCAACTGGCAATGTTCCATCATTATCGGAAACAAAAACTTTGAAGCTACCAGAAGAGAAAAAGAAAAGTTCAAACGACAAGAGAGAAAGGTTCGACATAATTGATCTCGTCCTCCATTAACGTTACTATTCACTCAATGCCATCGGCTCTTCCATGTAAGAATTGGTCTTGTTAGTGCTCAACGCCATCATCATAAATGAAGCGATCAGAAAAGAAGAAATTAAATTTTTGGATACAAGATAAAAGCCGACGACGACACTTTTAAACTTTGATCTTTTAAAGTACGTGAAGCTGTGATAGTGTTTTTTTTTCTTTTGGGGCGTGGTGACACAAACCTCACGTAGGAAAGTGGGTAGAGACTTGGAATCAAACAACATGACTAATTTAAACTATTTTATATTAAATTAAATAAAACGATTTGTGAAAAAAGAAACTAGTAAAATAGGACATTCAGCTAATTTTTGAACTAATCTTATAATAAGCATGATTAATCCAAAAAGTAAGCATATTTTAAGTATGAACAAAGGCTAAGACTTTTTAAAGGCGCTTCATGTGAAGCAGGATGTGGCGTAATAGATATCGTCTCGGAATAAGAAATTGGAGAGCCGAGTTCGAATTTCAGTCGAGTTCGTTACATTGACTTTACACGCAAAATACTCTTGGAAAAGGTCTGCATCCATCTATTCTCCCTCCAAGTATAGGTTGATTGACAACCAGTCTAACGCAGAAAGAAATGGCAACTTTCTGTCTAGTCAGACATGAAAGAGACGTGATCGCTCAAATCGTTAAATGCCATACGTGGCATTTAACTGACTGACTATGGAAAATAACTGACATTTTTTAACTGGGCTATAATTTAAAAAAAGGAATAAAGCTCAAATTTGAGAATTTGCTGAGCATGAACAGGCTCTGCTAAATTTACAATTAAAATGGTTTACTTTCTCACTTTTGACACGACACTAGACAAATTCTGTAAACCTTCAGAGTTGTAGGAGCCCCACACGTAGTGTAGCCATAGCTGCATTACCGTATTTATGATAAGACTGACGGAGCCCATACCTCTTCGAGGGGGGGTGAATTTAGAGCGTCCCTTCTCTTAGACTGGGGACCGCCTCACAGCAAAAGAGCCTAGTCTACCCTGTTATTTAACCTTTTCTTTCCTGACTTACGAAAGTGAACACTTCTCCTTTTTTCTCTGAAGGATATGATCTTATTTGAATAGCTATACAATTTAATTATAAAAATTAAAACAAGTTCCTTATTTATAAAGGTGATAAAAAACAGATTTGAAATGGATAACAAAAGCCAATTATTTAAAAAGATTGATTCTAGAGCAAAATATGCAAATTAGTAATCCGTATTTAGTAAGAAACCCGAAATTGGTCAATTAAGCTGAGTTTTAAGTAATTTGTATCCACCCACGAGGTCAGGTTGTGACACAAGGTCGGTTTAATGTGGGGAGCCCGAGCGCGTGCACCCGGGTAAGGAACAAAAATTCCCCGAGCCTTCGCAACCATCGGTTGCTCTGGCCTCGGTGCGTGCACCGATCCTTCTCTCTAGTGCAATGAAAAGGCGCGGCTTCGGGCAGCTGTTCCCCAGAGCCGGCACCTCTCAGTATAATTTTCCTCAGTTGCGACTCTTTCCTTAGATGGAGTCGCCCCTGAGTGCACTCTGCCCAAAGACAGAGACGCAACTGAGAGATGATAAGTAGACGTGGAATTACTCAAGTAATTTCCATCTTTTGGAAACCAATTTTAATAACAAATGTAAATACCTAATAAACCGTTCCTTAAATATATAATCACAGGTTATGAAAAATGGGTTGCATACAACAATGTTCAACGCAAAAAAAAAGCCTTGGATTGACAAGAATAAATCTGTCTAACAGCTCCCCCACCAAATCAGAGCTCCATGAAAGAACGGCAAGGTTGTGTATGTGTGGTGGAATCGTTGGAATATGATTCGTTTAGAGTTCTTAAAGCGCAATGAAACGCTAAATGCACATTTATATGTCCAGCAGATGCAACATGTCCATACAAGTTTGGTCGAACAGCGCTCTGTGTTCCTCAATACAAAAAAAATTCTCTAAGGAATACATACAGAAAGAATAACACAGGAAAAAAAAATTGTAACTTGGTTGGTCTGTTCTACTCCGCACATCATATTCATCAAACCTTTTCTTTTATCAACCGATTATAACATTTCCGATCACTGCAAAACGCTTTGATATTCAACTTTCTCTAATGAAATCCAGATTTAAGAGATTGTCGAAAAGTTTTTGATATCAAAACCTGCTGAAATATTACTTTAAAAGGTATCAAAGAGCTGCCTGATAAATGGTAACAAGTCATTGCAAATAATAGTAAATATAAATAATTTGTTATACACGTTAAAAATATTTTTTTGTAAAATGTTTTCAAATTTACTTTCTTTTTCCTAATCTCGTACAGCTTTCCTTTCAGTTCCATATTTTATTTTCTGCGTCTTATTTGCTTTCTCCTACTTACAACCAATACATTTTTAACCGAAACTTGTACAGAGAAAAACACTAACAATTATTTTCACTATCTTTCTTTTTTTTTTATTTCATTAGTCTTTTTGACGTTTTCCAGGAACATTTTTATAAATATTTTTGTCTGTCAGAAAGCTTTTTCCAATTAGAGAATATCTTCTTTTTTATTTATTCTTTCTTTCTTTCTTTCTTTCTTTCTTTCTTTCTTTCTTTCTTTCTTTCTTTCTTTCTTTCTTTCTCTAATGTCTGCCTTTGTCATTTTATCTGACAACACTTAAACGTCTCCCCACTTTTCCCTCCGTTGAGATCCCAGCAATTTTCTCCCAATTGACCCATCCCATCTCGGCTGTTTTTGTTTCGTTTTATCTAAATGTAAAAAAAAAATTTTTTTCGTCCCCTCACCCCAATAGCAATTACACAAATTCTTTCTTTGTTTAATAATTCGTTTCAGCATTTTTAATATTCCCCCGTCTACGACTTTTCCCTATTTTTCCCTTTGTTTGTCTTTCATTCATTCTTTCGAGTGTGTTTTTTTTTTTTTTTTAGTTAGATTGTTATTTTGTGTTTGTTTATCTTTCTTTTTCTTTATTCTATTAAGTAAATCTTTTTCGAGCCAGTGTCAGACTTTGTATTTCTTTAGCCTCTTTGTCCAGCCAGTCTGGATTGGTCGAATTAGTTTTAAAGGTACACACGCACGCACGCACGCACGCACGCACGCACGCACGCACGCACGCACGCGCACACACACACACACACGTACGTCTCTTTTCTTCCAATATATATATATATATATATATATATATATATAAATTGGGAACAAGATGTTTTATTATCTGCTGGTTTGTGTGTCTGTGTGTTATGTTAAACAGTGTTAGTCAAGGGTGTTTTAGTGTGTCCCAGGCTGATAGCCCTTGGCCATGAAAAGGCTAAAATAAAACGGCTTAGACTTAGAGTGATGGAAAGTAATATGCGAGGTGAGGCTGAGCAATACAGACTACTGGCGACGTCATGGAAAATTCCCAAGTTAAGCATTGGCTGATAATAGAAGAAAGGAACGAAGGAAGCGGGAAGGCAGGGAACGAGGGAGCGAGGGAAGGCAGGGAGGGAGCGAGGGAAGGAGGGAGGGAGGGAGGAAGAAAGGGAAGGTAGGAAGGAAGGAAGGAAGGTGAAAAAAGAAAGACGAATGAAGTGTTGAAAAAAAGAAAGAAAATCACGAAGACAATATGGAAATAACAACGGAAAGTATGAAGACGAATAATAGAAAGAAAGAAGAAAGTAAAAAGGGAAATAGGAATGAAGGAAACAATGTCGGAAATAAAAGCAGTTTAAAACTGGGAGAGAAAAGAAAATGGAGAATTTAAGAGAATGAGAAGAGAAGAAAAGAAAATATATAGAAAGAAAGGAGAAACAATTATAAAGAAATTAGTGGGAATAGAAAGATTAAAGGCGGGGTGACATTAAAGATGATAATAATAATAATGATGATGATGATGATATTAACTCCTTGCGTTAATCGCTTTATCGCCTTACTTTGGTTGAAATGATTACCAAATAAATAAATAAATAAATAATAATAATAATAATAATAATAATAATAATAATAATAATAATAATAATAATAATAATAATAATAATAATAATAAGAAGAAGAAGAAGAAGAACAACAACAACAACAACAAGAAAGAAAGAGAGAAAGGAGAAAATCCACAGAAACAATAGAGAGAAGGCAAGTAAGAATTATAGGAGTGGAGAAGGAAAGAATTAGAAAAATCATAACCTGACAGGCGTTGAATGATAAGAAAAGAGAAAGGTTTGGTTTAAGTGTTTGTCGGATGAAAGGTGCGTTGTTCGTTCGTATGTATAAGAAATATGTTTGCGTAAGGAAGTTTGAGTGAGAAAGAGAGTGATAGAGAAAGAGAATAATAGAGAAAGAGATGGTATGAAGCAGAGACGGTATAGAGATGGTATGAAGCATAAGACGATCAATAGGCTACCAATTAATTCTGACGTTGCTAGATAAAACGTAATAATTACGTACGTTGTTTATGGCCGGAAAAATAAATTTATTATACAGGTGCAGTGTTATACTGTGTACGTGTGTCTGTGTATTTTTGTAACACACAGACACACATACTCATATGTGTGAGTGTAACACTAAGAGAGAGAAGCTCAGAAGAGAAATGGAATAAACGAAAAAAAATGAAAAATTACTGGCATAATAATTAATTACATTTTTTTTCTTGAAAAAATCCCAAAAGAAGGACGTAATCACTTAAATACGTTTAAAAATAACCAAAAACAGAACAATGGTGGCGCGTAGAGACCACACCTGAATGCAATGATAATATATGTGGTGCGTGTAATTTCTGGTATAATTCATGTGAACATTGTAAGTCTGCATATTTCTGTCGTTCGTTACCTTGAATTACTGTGGGTACCCTGGTACTCGGAAATGGTATGTTTTGGCATGTGAAAGTAATTTTTATTGTTTAAGCTTACATTTTTTTGACTTTCTTTAGTGCTAATAGATTATATGAAATTTGAAAAAGATAAATAGATTGTTATAGCAAATTTCAAGAATAGTATGATTAGTAATCCCTAATATTAAAATGAGCACATCCGTAAAAAGAAAATACAGTTGTTTCGACACACACACACACACACACACAATTGATGTTATTCCCTTTTCCGCAGTCATTATCTATTTCAATAACTATTAATATCGCGTACGTTGTGGTCGGAATAAAATAATACAAGAATAATTATTTAGTCCTGTTGGTGAGTTCTAGTACGCCGCCTATATCTTTTGCAGAGAGAAGTATAACTCCACCGAAAGAGGTCATCTACCAAGTACATGAATACAGACTCAAATATAAACGTGCAATATTTACCTATCATCTGACGAAATAAATATTTATAAAGTCAAATATAAATAATAACCAATATTTAGCTATTCCCAAACCAAGTAGTAAATAGACTCAAATATAAACTACCAAAATTTACCTATCCCTGGACCAAATAAATACTTAGACTCAAATATAAATGACCACAATTTATCTATTCCCTAACCAAGTAAATGCTTATAGACTAAGATGTATGACCAATATTTACTTATTCTGAACCAAGAAAATGCTTAGGAACTCAATTATAAACAATCAATATTTATTTATCTCCGAACCAATTATAGACACAATAATCGCCCTGTGTTTAGTTTACCTCTCCCCGGACCCAAGTAAACTCTTATGGACTCAAATATAAACGACTGATAATAGTTACCTATCAGCGAACGAAGGGAAATGCTTAGATTTAAATATAAAACACCAAGTTTACCTCTCCTCAATCCAGGTAAATTCTTATAGACTCAAACAAATATAAACGGTCAATAAAAATTAATTATCCCCAAATATAAGGAAATGCTTATAAATGCAAATATAAAACTAAAACAGTAAAAACACCAATATTTACTTCTCCCCGAACCTAAGTAAATTCTTATAGAGTCAAAAACGACCGATAAATGTTGCCTATCTCAGAAACCAAGAAAATGCTTATAGATGCAAATGCAAAACACTAATATTTACTTATCCCAGAACCCAAGAAAATTCTTAGACACAAAAACTACCAATAAGTCAAAATGTTACCTATCTCCGAACCCAAGGAAATGCTTATAGGCGCAAATATGAAACACCAATTATCTCTTCCGGAACCCAAGTAAATTCTTATAGCCTCAAAAATGACCAATAAGTGTCACCTATCTCCGAACGCAAGGAAATGCTTATAAATGAAAATATAAAACACCAATATTTACTCATCCCCGAACTCAAGTAAATAATTTACTTATTCTTATAGATTCCAAGTATGATCGACCAATAAGTGTTACCTATCATCGAACCCAAGTAAATTCTTAAACGACCAATAATTTACCAATCCCAAAACCTAAAGAAATGCTTATAAATGCAAATAAAACACCAACCCCCGAACCCAAGTAAATGTTTATTGATACAAATTTAATTAAATAAAAAAGAAATAGATTTCGATATTAAATAATCTAGCAAGAGTTGACATGTCGTAAAAAATCAACCAATCCGACACATAATGTGGTAGTGTTATTTTTCTTTAATTTCATTTAATTTTTTTTTCTTTTGATAGTGTGACGAGTAGATTGTTTGTAAAAACAAACAAGCCAGCATTAATAGATATGCTGTTCGTAACTATAGAAATAAATGTAATTATTTTGTTTTTAGAGATAGTGTTAGTTAACTGAACATCTTGTCATATCGACTCGTACAAAAACTTGTTGAAACAAATCGTTTTTTTATTATCAGAAAAATAAAGATAGAGATAGAACTCTTTGTTCCCAAGTTGTAGACGGAATCTTTTTCATTGTATATGAAACATGAAGACAACTAGAGTGTTTGTAAGGATTTATAGTGATTATTGTCAAATACAAAGCTCTTAAAAGGATCTTCTCCGAGGAGAGGATGTGAGAAGAGAGAACATCACTTCTCTTATTCCGATTATAGAAAAAGGAGCAAACAATCGGGGTCGGTGAAAGGGTTTAATGAGCTCCCACCGAATCTATGATACTGAGCCCCACGAATTTATGATACACACCCCAAACTACTATATCGCAATTTTCATAAGGTAGTATTCATATAAAATATAAATTTTATTGTAACCTATATACAATAATGGATCATATGCAATATAGGTGAACAATTCAACTAGAAAAATTTAAAATAAATACAATGTATCTAAAATTCTAAATACAAATTAGACTAGAGACATATCGTAGATCATTCTATTTTAAATAAATCAACAATGTTTTGCAGCAATTTTTAACATCAACTTGAGAATTTTCTTGTTAAAAAGTTGAATAATTTTAACGCATTCAACATTATGAATAAAAAATAGTGAATTTTATATAGTGTTTTTTCGAGACTTCAAAAAAAAATGTGGAACAAGTTCACGGATTTGGAGAAAAAAAAAGAAAAAAAAAAGAACCCAGAATAACATCAAAATCCGCGAAAATTTTTCATCCTTTAATAGTCAGTTATGCTTAATGTAAATGTAGGTAAACGAACGTAAATATTGATAAGATAGTCACAAAGCACTGCTCGGGGGCCTCTATTATAAACAAGCTCTTCTACAAATAACCTTTCCTTCTGAAGCCTTCAGTTCGAAATTTTCATGACTTCTGGTCTCTTCGAAATTTTTACACCTTCATTCTTCTTAGAAATTTTCATACCTTCACGTCAAAATGCGCTCTGAAAAATATATACACCATTTCTTAACCAATCACAATAGTCACTTCCACCTACATATATTGGGTTGGTGCATAATTATCAGGCGTTTTTAACAATATTTATTATGAAAAAAGAAACAATTCAACAATAACATTTTTAAATGGTTATTCCGGAGCGTATGATTATCGACACGCATTTTTATAAGCTGAAAATAAAATATTTTTATTACAAAAGTAAACAAAACAGCAATTTTTATTAACAAATAACTCGCCTACAAAAAAGCCTAATAATTATGCACCAACCGAATAGATTTTTATTAAATTTATTTCTAAAACTTAAAGCATGTACATTACGTGTTAACTTTGTAACAATATTCCCAACAACATTATGACCAAAAAGATTAAATAAAATCCCATAACTTAAATCTGATGAACTTTATTCCAAATCCCAACAATTGAAAATAAGGAAAAATACTCAAAAATATACAAAACAAGTAATAAATGGAATATATAAAGTAAATAAAATTATAATTAATAAGCATTCTAAAAGTCATGATAACTTTAAGTCTTCACCCTAAAAAAAAGAACTGGGAAAGTCTAGTTTCTTCTTTCGTCAACTTCACTCAAATCACCAATGACTTGTACTATTGAGCCGGCTAAAGGGGTAGTGGCACTTAGTCTAAAGATCACTCTGCCTCGGATTTTCAACATTACATATATATATATATATATATATATATATATATATATATATATATATATATATATATATATAAAAATATATATATATATATATATATATATATATTTGAAACAATAATGACCGGCTACTACGTATTCGAGTACATCTATCTAGAGAAAATCCCTAGCACATTAGTGTTTATTCAACACCCACGGAGAACACCTGTAGTTTATACTGCAACTCTTCTGAGCGGACCTTAACTCCAGTGTTATGGGAGAGAGCATATAATCTGGCGTGATCAGTAAGCTCAAACCTTCGATCACGATGACTTGTGACTTCGTGATAGCACAAACAATATATATATTTCTCTCGCAAAAAATCAAGGCTAAGACAACTGAATTAAGAATTTAAGGATGGTAAAATTTTAGAGCTTTTAGATTCTCATAGGTGGGTACAACATACTAAAACTTCATCAATATCAGTATCTATAAGACCAATAATTGAGTTGATACGGAATTATATATATATATATATATATATATATATATATATATATATATATATATATATATATATATATATATATATATATATATATATATATATATAGTTTCATAGAACAATTACGACTGAAAAGTGAGTTCGATCCTCACTAGGTACCTCCTACTTTCGGCCTTGTGCCACATCTAAGCTACGCTTAGAAAATATTTCGGGCACCTCGGCGTGGTGTAATGGTTAGTAAGCTTGTCTTGCTAGATCAGTTACTACTGAAAAGTGAGTTCGATCCTCACTGGATGCCCCATACTTCCGGCCTTGTGCCACATCTAAGCTACGCTTGGAAAATCTGTGTGTGTGTGTATTAGGGCATGAAGAATTCATCCCAACAAGTTTTATTCTACCGACAAGGGCTGTCTATTGAACTTCTTATTATATCTTTCCAATTTCCGAATGAAGTGTTGTACAGGGTGAGGCAAAATCGCGCACCATAGAGGTTAGTTAATTATAGAAAGAATTAAATATGAATGAAGTAGAATGACAGAGAAAACTCTCC